TTTTTTTAAATATAGATGGTGCATATTATTATTGTTGTTGTCATCAAGAAGGTAGGATGTCTGAGAGACCTGTTAGTGCTGATTTAGGGTGCTGTTTTGTCCCACAGTTAAGAAATCATTGGTATGATTTTAGTTTATGCCGTTAACTGGTCTTAACTGAAATTCTCCAATCATCTGCTCACAGTAGTATTGGCACTACTAGGATTGTTTGGGCTCAAGCCATACTTGCCCGGTGCCAGGCACTTGAAAGCACTGTTGAACATGGAGTGTAAAAAATATGGAGGGGTCTTATGTGTACATACTTTAATTGCTCAAGATTCTCACCACCTCTTGCCCCTCCTCTGTCATGCTGGTATAAGACTTCTAGGAATAAAGTAAAGTATATATTCCGATTATCAAATAAGAGTATAAGTTTAGTCATGTACAGTAAATTATTCAAAATAAAGCCCCATGTTAAAAAATTTATTAATGGAGTATCAAGACTGCTAATTGTAGTGCTCTGGAGGAAGGAGGGTGGAGGAAAAACTTTACAAATAATAATAAAACCAATATTATTATTAGGTGGTAAAAATAGTTCACCTCTCCCAATATCAAGAGAGAGAATTTTGATGGTTCTCCCCTTTTCAAGACCGGTGTGGTTATCATCCATGATGACATGTGGCCAGTAGTTGCTCTGACTCATTTAATGATTGGAATCTCTGGCTAGCTCGTATGATAAACTGAGTCATGGTCGAATGTTGGCCTGTACTGTCAGTTGGTAGCAGCACTAGAATCTAATGATAGCACATAATTGGTCTCTAACTTCACATTGTCACAATACTGTGTTCCCTCTCCCTTCTACTGAGTGCTTTTATGTGTATATCATCTTTGTACATGGAAACTTAAACCATACATTTTGTGCTCCGCTTGTTTTGTCACACATGTAGACAAGTCACTCTCAGGAGATAACGAGGAGGCAAAACTGCCTTACAATGTAATACTACCTTCATTAAACTGTGAGATTATAGCCTTGAATTGCCTTGGAAGAGAGTAATTATAAAAATGGGCAAAAGAAGACAAAGACAATTCATTCAATTGACGCCGCATAGTTCATAACTGGCTTATGGTCCACAATTAAGAAATATTTCAAACATTTCAGAACCTAAACTTTATTCTGAAATTTATGATCCTTAGTTCTGCGAACTGTGGATTTCTGACTTTAATAGGAAACATATTGTACATGTGTGTCTTAAATACAAGACTGTCCACGCTTCTCATTCTTATTTACAGAAACAGTTTTGTGCATTTTCAGTTTTGTGTCTAAACTGTCTTTAATTAAGAGAAATGAGCATTTATTAAGGAGAGAAAACAAATAGCTAAATAAATGAAAGGTAATCTTATTTGCAAATGAATAATGATGAAAATATTTGTACAGTATATAGTATTTGTACTTTTAAGAAAAAAACAAAAACCGTTTCGCTCTGTGTAATTTTCATATGCTCCTTATATTACGTTGTTTCTCAAACCTTTGGTGAGCTACATTATTATTTAATCCTAATAATTAAAGTCTAATACCCCACAAACAATAGGTGATGTAATGTTTTGTCTTTAAACTCAATCTAGAAGTGCAGAAGATAGCGGTAAATAATTACTTCAGATTTTGAACAGAAGTGGTTTGTTTGAATATGATTCCAGGATAAGATATCTAAGTAGTATAATGAAACCTAATGATACTTTTCCGCACATCAATTTTGCATAATAAAAATCTTAAATCAAGCGGTTGTTTCACATGTGATTTTTTGCTGAAGAAGTGCACATCTCTCATAGCATTATAGAATAATAATTGGAATAACAAGTACCACACCTTCATATGTTTCTGTGATCCAATTTCATGATTTGGCATTACATTTAAGCTTTATCATGTCCTTTGCAAGCAAAATCAAGTCAAACTGTGCCCCCAAGTGTGAGACAATGTATGTATAAGGCCAACAATCTTTAAACATAGTGTGCATGGACAGGTGGAAAACTAGCTTATTCAGTGAAATGCCTTGTGTGTGGGTTTTAGTTTTGTAATAAATTGCTCTGAATTCATTTATATACCTATTGATAAGAACTTTAAGAAATAAAGATGCCTGGTTTTCTAAAACACTTGTATCATCTTGACCGATTTTGACTTTTTTCTTTTAAATTGATATTATATTTTAACTCTTGTTCTTCTTTTTTCAATATAGGATTTACGTATCCTATTGTCCTATTTATCCATAAGGATTATTATCCTTATGTGGACTATAGTTAAAAGTTTAAACTACAGTATATAAATAAGAATTTAAAATTTTAAATAATTTTAAATAGGAAAAAAACTGAATAATCTGCATTTGTCTTATGTATTATGTATTTTCCCAATTTACTTCGAAGTAATGCAAAATTAATACTGATTTTAATTTATGTGGCCTTTCTGTTACTGAATTCATGCCTCATATGGAAGTTGCTAGGATCTGTACAGTATGTGTCACTAAATGTTTGGTCTTTGTTACATAAAAAGCCCAGATCTACTCACACTGTATTCATATTTATAATAATCATTGTGTTTTGTTCATTAGTTTGTGTAGTAGCAACAAAGCCCTGTGACCGCACTTGTTTTTTCCTGACTTTATATTCCTGTTTATATTACTATTACACAATATAACTTATTAGTAAAGCAGATTCTTATTAATTTTAGCACCATCTTTTAGTTTTTTATACCCCATATTTATTAAAATTACAGTTTCTAACTAAATTTGTAAAAATACTGTATAAATAAAACAAATGAATTACTACTGATATTCATTCAGTGTGTTGTAAATATTTTCAAGGAAAGGCTTTAATGTTTCTGTTGCGTTTTTCAGATTCCAGAATCTTCTCTGGTCCAGGAAGAAGTTCGTGGAAAGTGTAAAGGTCTATGGCTCCAGTTACATCTACATGCCAGCCTTCTCCATGAAGCCTGGGACAGACCCATCCTTCCGGGCCTATCATGCTCTGTCTGACATTGGTGCCAACCAGACCGTCGTTTTTGCAAACCCTGACTTTTTGAAAAATGTGGGCAAGTTCTGGAAGAGCAGAGGGATCCATGCAAAACGCCTTTCCACTGGCCTGTTCCTGGTCAGTCTGGCCCTGGGACTATGCGATGAAGTTACTATTTATGGCTTCTGGCCTTTTTCTGTGGACCTGAATGAAAGATTTATAAGCCATCATTACTATGACAACATTTTGCCTTTTTCTGGGTTCCATGCCATGCCAGAGGAGTTTCTCCAGCTCTGGGTTCTTCACAAGACTGGAACGTTGCGTATGCGTGTTGGCCAGTGTGAAGAGGAAACTGGATAGCTTGTTTATCTTACCAGCTGAGAATATCACCAAACCCCATGCCTTTCCCGTGCAGCCCTTTTGATGGCATAGGCAATTGGGATTTGCATGGATCGTCTATCCTCATCTTGCTTTGTGTTACGTTGACAGGGCTGGTAGTTTCCACAACGGGGATCATAGCTTCGTGATTAATTTATTAAAGAGTGAGTTCTCTTTCTACGTAGCGGCGCAGGGATTTAGCCTAAGGCAGAAGGCAAATAAACTAGAGGGGAAACAATTGCTAAACACTACTTGGAATTTCCTAAACTTATAGTATATGAAAGGTGTTTGAGATTGTTCTGAGCTGAAACTCCTTGAATTAAATATCATAAATAGATAAAACAAAGTCTTAATTCCAACTAGGTCCACTTAAGGTAGTACTCTGCCTTAAAACACCTGAAATTATGCATTTCAAAATATTTTAGCAGCAAAGAAGAGGGTTCTGAAAAATATTCTTGAGTTAAAATAGATCAGATCAGTTGTTTTGCTAACAGGACATTGATTGATGTACGGACTAAGAATATGAAAAACACTCCCGTTAAATGTACTGTATATACAAAAGCAACAAAGATGTTCAGTTGCTTAACAGCATCACAACTCATTGCCATATACTTATCAAACAACCTATTAAGGAGAGAAAATATTTCTGAACTAATTAATTGAGTCTGGAGGGAACATTCATATTGGCATAAAGCCAAGTTACTGCTTTTATCTTGTAAAAAAATGTTATTATTCCCAGATAGATTTTCTACAAAGGATAACAGTTCTTCCCTGAGAAGGAAATGCCACATGAGACTAAAAGAGTTCTGAAGAAAGTCATTTGATTTAATCAAACATTCCCTTACATATCTGATTTTGTAAATGCACTGCATTCCAAACCTTAGTGTGTGTATTTTAGTGTTCTTTAACCTAATTATAGTTTACTGTTATATTAAAAGTATAATGTGTGGCTCTAAAACCTGAATGGATGACACACAAAGAGGTTGTAATTTTGCACTATAAAGAACTCCAGGAATGGAAGTCAAAAATATAAACATTACAGAGAAATACATATTTTGGCCTGGTCACTCCCCAGGTAGGACAGAAATGAGGCATAGAAGAGCTTTATTGGAGTAACTAGGCTGGCTAAATGCTAACATCTGTAAGGATGGGGCTGCTGGATATTATCCTCAAATAATAAATAAGTCAGGGGAAGTAGCTGCAAGAGCTGCAAAGATGGGGCAAAGAGGGACTGATGCAAAAAAAGTGGGCAGATTAGGTTTTGACCTCCTCTCACATGTTTATGTTCAAAACTCCATGAATACTGGACACTAGGCTGTTGAAGATCTATGATTAATGATTGGTTAATAGTAAGAGCATTTTGGCAAGAATATAAGGTTTTTAAATTCCATGTGACATGTCTGCTGGTATTGCTCTTGCTATTTATATTGTGATAAAACTCCTACAGTCTAATGACATACTGGTAGGTTAATTGGCTTCTGGAAAAATCTTCCCTGATTTGAGTGTCTGCATGGCTGTGTGCGCTGATAGACTGGGGTCTCATCGAGGGGGTACCCCATCTTGCACCCTTTGCTTTCCAGTATAAGCTCCAGCTCCCCTCAACAATTAATTGTTTAAAAGAGGTTAGTAAAAGGTTGGATTGATGTCTCCTAGTAGAACACATCTACAAGTAACTGTCTTTTTTAGTTTTCAGATACTTTGTCTGCTCATAGGGAAAATTTGCTTGAACATAAATAAATGCTACAGTAATTGAGCATTAAACATATTAAAAAGTAAACAGCTTTTTTTGTTCAAATGTTGCAGATTGCTGTTAATTAAGAACAATTTCATTTACATTATATTAAAACATTTGTTTGCTAACCATCCCTGAAGCTAATAAAATAGTTTGTTGTGGTTTTCTTGAGCTCACTGAGACCAGGCAACAGTGTACTGTGGCATGAAATGAAAACAAATTCCAGTGCTCTTCTTGAACTTCACAGCTTCTTGCTAAAATGAAGATATTATACAAATGTTTATGACTTCATTCAACACTACATTGAAATTCTGTAGTGTTGCATTGAGTCGTAACGTTTTTGTAAAAATGGTGTTTATTACTTAACCAAATGAGTCATGTGCAGGACGTAATACCTTCTAGTGCTGCTGGAGAGTATAGGAACTGCAGCTACTGTACAGCTTGTCAAGTAAACCCTTCTCATGTAATGTGTGAAGTGGATGTGAACAATATTTTCTACGTTTCCTACCCTCTGCTCTGCTTAGTTCAGCTGCCTCTATAGCCACAGCTTTTACTCTGTGCAAGTGAACAGCTTTGGATTCCCAGTTACCATTAGGCTCCATTTCTCTGAGAATGCTTTGTTTCATTGTGAAAGAGTATCTCTTTCAGCAGATTATGTGCAACCACTCCTCCAAGCAGAGAATTATTTTACACAGCAACTCACAGAAGATCTTTAGTGCTAGTTCTGTGCTTTTGAGTAGCATATTTCTCCAGGAAACTCATCTAGCTAAATCCTAACATATCAGCGTGGGAGCAGCATATGAAACAGGTTGGAGGGAAATGTTTGGTTTGTTTTGTTTGTTCTGCTGCTAAAGGTGTACTGATCCAAAAATGTCAGATGTTTTACAGTATAACCAGGAGGTTGCTAGCTCCAGACCACGATGTGCCACTGACACTGAATAACTGCATTAATAAAACCTACATTTTGTCATAAATGATAGGAGTAACATAGTTTGATGCGTAGTCCACCCATAGTCTTCATAATTTTTTAGATTAAAGAATTGGGGATTTAGGGAAATCATTATTACTGTTAAGCCTCATTTGACTATTTAAAAGTGCATATTTTCCATCAGCTGCATATAGAGAAACTGTACTTTTTATTTTACTTATCATTTCTCATTTTATTGTTTTTACTCTTGATAAAATATTTAACATAACTAACAACGAAATGCCATTTATTTTAGATTAGCAATGAGCATTTTTAATATAATGAATATTCATGATTTTGAATAGAGTTAATTTTTTATTTGACAATTTTCTGGAGTGATGATGTCCTTAGCTGTTGTTGTGATTGCCCCCAAGCTGGAGCACATGTGGGGGAGTTCTGCCCAAGCAGGGCAGATTTGTGTTGACCTGTGTCCTGGACTGCCTTGCAGCATTTACATGCAATGTGTATGTGGGCTTGCAGTTTTCCCTGTGAGAACTGCTTCACTCCCTCTTACAACTGATGCTTTCTCTTCTTTTGTTAATGTGAAGTATGCAGTGTGAAACATGGCAGATGGGCTTTACACTGTATATTTCTGAAAAGGGGTTGTAGCAATAAAGCTAAGTTGATTGACAGTTGGAAACCCAGATTGGAGGACATAAAGAGAATGCTTGATTAGGGTTCTGATCTGCTCAGATAGTAAAGGAGCTGTTCGTAAATTGCTGTATGTGCTCTAAAAATTCAACAGCAATTCGATTACCTACAGTATATGACCCCCAAACATTAATACAATGCACATCTTAAAATAGATGGTTTAATACAAATATAAAAGCAAATTTTTAATTGTGAATAAGTGCCTACAGTTTGCAATACAATGCTTGCCATATTAGCATTACAAATAGCTGTAAGAAAGTCACAATAAAATGATAATTACCATTTTTAATTTTCAGGGAATATTGTTTAATCATAGAGGTGGCTTTTATGTAATTTGTGTAATTATTGCAGTTTGTCATTCTTTCATTCACTGTGTCACTACATCTTGTTCATCGTGTAAATCCAGTGTACCTAAGATAGAAAGATTAATGTAGATGGGTCAGCAAAGTGCATACTTAACTGCAGTTAAAGTGACATGACTGAGCGGTGAATAACCTGAATTTTCAATGGGGAGGTGCTAAGCTCACTTCTTTCAGTTAGCATCCTTCTACATACAGTATGCTTTTGACTGAAAACATGCACTTTTAAGTTGTCATTACATACCAAATATTTAATGGTTAACATAATTATCACCAAAGTGACTCTGTAACCTAAGAGGTTTCCTTTTATGAGTCTGTTCACTATACAGCAGAGACCAGAGTGTGCAAGTGAGTGTTAATTTTTATCAAAGTAAGATTTTGTGAATACATAGGGCAAAGCTTAAACTGTCAGAAAATATATATATAAAGGAGAGGAATCTTTCAGTAAGGAAAGTGGTAGGGAAAGCCATCAGTAATGTATTTTGGAACATAGAGAACATGATTTTTCCTCATAAGTTCATGTACTAATTGGCTAGAGTGCCAAACATTAGTTAAGAATCCAGATTCCAGGTTGATGCTTAAATGCTTAGGTACATTCAGTAATAAAAGTATTTTATTCTGTATTTTGTCAAACAGTATTATCAGAATGTTACTACATTGTTTATATCTATAATGATTAATTACAGATGTTGTTCAATCTGTAGCACTCTCTCTAGGTCTCACAAAAACAAAACCAAGTTAAAAATGAAGGGCTTTTTGGTGAATAACAGCATAAAACAGAAGAAGGGTTGCAAATGAGGGGAGGTAATTTGGCCCATCTAGAAAACTTTGGTTAGTTGCTCTCAAGCTGATTCTTGAAGTAAGCTAGCAAAAATAATACAAAATCAAGTGTTTCAGGATCAGTAAAATAACATATTTAAAAGGAAAGAGTTACATAACCTATGTCTTAGTACCTTATATATTTTTATTAGATTAATATTGATTTGAGTGCTTAATCATACCAGTGCAGTACAAGTGCAGGTACTGGAAAGATTTCCTTTTACTGCAAGTAATATCTGTCAAATCACAAGTACTGTCTTTTATAGAGGCAATTTAATAACTTTAATCAGACTTCCCTTCAGGAATATATAGAAATTAAGATACAATATTTTAAAGTGAAGTATTCACATCTATAAGGCAAAAAGGAAAAAAAAAAGGAAAATCCTATCCAAAATCTGGAAAATCCAGATTACTATATTAACTAGGTTATTAGGTTATATTAACATTCAACCTAGGCTATCCCCAGGGGATATTTGGGGATGTTCTTTAGGTATAGGGCCTGCCTTAGTATACCCGGTTTTAATTTTATTTTTTTTGAAAGGTTATGAAATAATGTGTAGTTCAGTATTTTAATAACTAAAATTGGCAAATGAACTCATAGAACTGGAGCACAGAAGAACTAATTCTGCACCTTTAAATATGTCTAATCTCTTGAGATAATGTGCATTATTATTTTCAGAGACTCAGATTGGGTAAGAGCATGGCTAACATTCTGTTTGGAGTGCTTGATGTGGCTTTTTAAAAAACATTCAGGAACAGTTTCTTGAATATAAAGCATTACTATAGTCTATTATCTGAATTATATTAACAAATCATTTTGTGATACCATGATTGGAAATGAGATAAATCAGATTATTTCCCTATTGACAACATTTGTAATGCCATTTGAAATAAAATCAGTTTTTGTACAGTTAGAAGATCTATCTTTTGCCTTTATTTTTTCATTTGTATAACTAGACAATATTTTGTCTCTCAACTTCAGAAGCTTCTTGAGTGTTTTTGTCTTTCTGCTTTTTGAAGCAATGCTGAGGGTTTTTATTCCTTTTCTCGAAATCTATAAATCTGTAGATTTATAAGTGTATTTTGAAAATTATGAGTTTATTTTTTTCAGAGAAGTATTAAGTAATTTGTAGTTTCTAAAATTATATTTTTTACAGTATTCATGAGTAATGTTTTTTATAAAAAACTTTTTTTAAATCGTAAAAGTCTAAAATATTACCACACTTTAAAAGCAGGGCACTTAAAAGAGCTGTTACCTGCCTTTACCTGGAAAATGAAAACAATAATAAGCTGATGGACGTTTTTGTTTAAAAAGAAACTACCTCATGTGCAAAAGGGGGTTATCTGTAACCCCATTCCCTAATAAAATGATCAGCTTCACTAAGTATTGCATAGCAGTGGCTCATCGTCCTTTACTTGTTTTACAGTGTACTGTAGAAAGCTGCAAGGTTTTATATAAATCATTCCTTGCACTAATCTGAATGCCCTTGAATACCATTTGAGGTTTTCCTAGCTCTTTCCTCAAATGGTCTCTGACCTTCAGAATCTTCACTGTAATCATTCTGTATGTTATGTGCCAAATCTTATTTTGCTCTTGAACAATATTTTTTGCTCTTAATATGGTTATGTAACTGTGTACAGAAATGTGAAAGCAAGCCTCTCAAGGGATACTGTACAACAAGCTGTTTTGCAGGATCTTTTAATGTGCCCTCTGATGAGTTGAATGAAAGAAAAATTTAAGCCTTGAACGTCTAAGAGCAGTGGATTTTGCAGTTGTAGTTAATTTGAATATAACTTTGAAGGTTTAGAGCCAGGGACGTATAACCTCAAGATATGTGTGACAGTCCTTTTACTAAAATAAACAGTTGAATAAATTCAACAAACATGCTCATACCCAAAAATACATTTGGCAAGGAAAATGATACTAGATAAATTGTTTTACTTGAAACAAAATCCATTTCAGGTGTGATTAAAAAAAAACATTTGCAAGATTTGATTGAAAAAAGACATTGTAATACACTGGGCAAAACAAATACCGTGCCTATATCTGATTTATGTGTATACAGTGTGTGTATATAATGTATATCAAGGCTGAGAATACAAAGAAAGCTTTTTTAAAACTAATCTCACCTGGCTCCACTGAGCAAAATTGAATTGTCATTGAAGGTAATAGATATTTTTGGGAAAGGTAAAAAACATTAGCAGACATGTCTGGCAAGCTTGTATACTTCTTGCTATTTCCTAAATCTGTAATTCAAGCCTATTGCTTTTTGTCTGATTTACAGTGAAAAAAATGTGTTTTGTATTACTGTTAAAACTGAGTCTTATTTTTTCAAGTCTAGTGTTTGTGACAGATTATTATAGCTATTGCATTGTGTATATGCCCAATGAGGTAAATAAATGTGAATGTCTTCAGAAACAAAAAGTGGGTCCATGGTCAGGAAGTGATCACGGGATTGTATTAATGGCATGTGAATAAGACTTTTAGACTGATGCATGTGACTTGATTTAACAAACTCAAAATCTGAATAAGTATTGTAATTAAGTTTCTACATTCAGTCTTTGTAACTACTGAAAAACATTTGTTGGTGAGCTACGATAAAAAGCTAACAGGAGAACAAAATTTCTGAAATTGTCTGAAGACAGTGTGATGCTAGAGTCATATCTACTCATCATCCAGCTTTTTTATCTCCTCAGAATTTAGGTTGTCACCTATTTCAAAGATTTCACATCCGATAATTCTTATTTAGTGACCGCAGCACTGACCCCAGCTTGTGAGTGACCTTAATTCTGCTTCTCATTTTCTCATATGACAGTGGCTTTATAAATACGGGGCATAATGCATGTCATAATTTGTGTACACTGAACTGCCGACACTGTAAGAACTGATTGTATTGTGTCATTTTTGGCATAGAAAGCCACGCTAACTATATTATTTTACAATAATTGTTGATGACTACTAAAAGGCACTATTTTAGTCTGTTGACTTGATCAACATGTTGCCACTAGTTCTTCTAATAGAATCTAAATTGATGCGCTAGTGAAGGTGTTTGTCAGACAGGGTACAGATTTAGTTTGGCACACCAATATGCCTACCTAACAGATGGCAGGCCATTTCTAACTATATGTAATGCTTTTGTTTGTTTTGTGTCATGCTAAGTTAAATTAAAAATAAACAATACAAGTAATGCCTCAGTAGACCAGATATAAAAATTCTGTGAAGAGTATTGTTGCAGTTACTGTATTCAGTTTTAAGAACTGCTTGTGAGAATCATTTTTAACATCAGACTATGTTAATTCTCAGAGATTACTTTAGCTTTACAGGGGGTTCTGCAGTATGGGTTCTCATTTATGCCTATATTAGCTATTTTAGTCAATTTGTTATTAGCTGCTTTGTTAATTAA